AATTCAAAAACTAATAGCAGGAAATACTTGAAATTAACACCAAATATTTATTTTATAATTTCCTATACTTGATACTTGTTTTGAGCTGCTTAAGGATATTTTAAATTTTAAATTTGAGTTTTTTTTATCTATAAATACATGTGCACTATTTTTTTTATAAGCATTTAAAGTTTAAATTTATGAAATGGAAAATTTGCAAATTATTTTGTAGCTAAACATTTATAAAATTTTCAATTTTTAAAGTTAAGGGATATAAATTTAAAACTAGGTTTTACGTAAATAGTGTAACCAAAAAATATATTAATTAAGTTTTTTTCATAGACACATTAAGTTCAAATTTGGACGAAATAAAATTTTTAAACAAACATTCAAGATTTTAATTGTTTTGTTCTTATTTAAAAATATTATTCCTGGGTACTTGAAACTTTTAAAATAATATTATTATAAGCTGGCGCAGTGTATAGGTGATTTCAGTACATTCACACGTAGGTGTCTTTAAAACGGCACACCGCCTGGTCACCAGGTGTTTGGTAACAGAATTTAATATCAGAACATTAAATTGTGCAAGTTGCAACGACATTAACCTGCCAAATACGCACGTAGGGTACTGTTTAATTGCAAACGACAGCAGACTTTCAGATTTTAAATAGGAAGACAGCGGAGTGACTATTTTATTACAGTCAACATTTTCCTACAAAGAATCCATTTCCTGTTATACAGTAAGTTGTAATATCGATTATATGCACACGTCATTTTGATGTAAAATTAATAAAGAATGTTTTATCCAATTCATATTTCGTTAATAGTTTCATCTACAGACTAAAATGAAATATAGTATCTTGTACATCATGAATGATAATTATTTTTTTATATGTGTGTGTTTGTGGCGAAGTGAAAAATATGTATCTTTTACATAATACATTAACAATAACGAATATCAATAAATAATGTTGACTTTAAAGTTTAAACGTTCAGTATTATTTGAATTATTCACCGCATTCATGTAAAATATAAGGATTTGTCGTATATTTCAATATTTGTTAGTAAAATGTTTAATTATATCTATGGATACTAATTGGTATTACAAAATTAGCTAACAAAAATTCTTAGCATATTTTTGTAATATGTAAAGTTATTATGATATTCCAGTCACGAAAACACTAATATAGGTTTATTAGATACACTCTCTATTTTAATTTTCCATATATTTCGGGTTTTTAATCCAATTTATGTAATTTTGATATACGAGGATAATATTCCAGGTGGACTATAACCGTCGTTACCCCTCATAATTCATCAATAACACAAACTTTATACTCTGAAAATAATTTATTAAACTTGTCTCTGAAATGTTCGAATTTATATCCAAAAATTAAAAAAAAACCCTCTCAAAAGTTGGCTCACAAGATAATTTCGATATTTATTTGCACGTGAAATATTGTCCAAACACGATATGATTTTCAGACGGTAGTGAGCACTTTGTATAGGAACCCGCAGTTAACGTAATAACTAATAAGCCTGTCTCTTGTCTGTGAACTTTTCTTTGATGTCATGCGTGCTCATGAAAACCACTATCCGCCGCAAGTATTGTTTATGATTATAATTTATAAAACAATAGTAATTCCTTAAAACGTTCCAGGGACGTTTTATTGTACTACTCGTGTAATGTTTGTTTAGCGTCAATACATACAATTATCGGGCTTTGTTACTTGACATTTAATACTAATTTCGTGGGTTCATTTTGTACACGTTTTCACAATAATACTAAAATAGTACATTTTCAAAAACATCATATACTAACCTTAAAAGTGGAGAAGGTGGCTATAATCGAATCGTGTACGTGACCTTTAAAACAATGTCATTACGAGAAAATAACACATTTTTAAAGATGAAATAATGTAATGTAGTGTAGACTATGGATAATGCTATAAACTCATAACCTAGGTAAGAAAATACATTAGTAAAAATGTAAAATAATAAAATAAGTAATAACAGTCAACATTTGTTTCATTTCATAATTTGTTACCTTTTTGATTAGTTTTTTTCTGGTTATGGTATGAATTATTTAAATTAATTTCTTGATGTATTACTATTATGAGTGATTTCCACCCAACCCCTACTTAAATAACAGAATTATGTACGTTATAATACATATAACCATCAACGTCTAATAAATTATTGTAATTTTTTTTATGCTTGGATAAAAAAAAAATGCCATTCTTATACCAATTTTAAAAATCTCATTTATAATTAATTTATTACATCTTTTTTATAACGAGGAACAGTACTTCACATACCTATAATATTAAAATGATTTTAGTTCAGAATGTAATCAATAATTTTCTACTAATTTAATATTTTTTTTTAAATCTTGGCTCATACAATTTATTCCTTACAGTGAAAGTTTAAGTGAAAATGCTATTCATAAAGTAATTTTCGCTCCTTGAAGATTATATAGAAACAGTAGCTTGTTATGAGATTAATATTAATGGATGAAACTGTTGTTGTAGGCAGTAGGTTATATGGTTAAGATACAGAAAAGATTTCATATACCTTTTAAAGTTGATGGAACGTGTATTTTTTATTGGATTTTAAACTTATAATTTATTACAAATTAACAACTAACAATATCATACATAATGTAAAGAGCGAGAAAATATTTTTTTTTAATATTATTATTGATTATTTTAAACAAAATTAAAAATGATTAATTTTCAAGTTGTATGTGTATAAGAGAACATTTCTAAAGAAGTTTAAAGCGTATGATAATATTATCACTAATTTCATATAAGTATAGGCTTAAGAATGTCAGTTTGATTTCAGTGATGTCAAAACAATTTTAATATTAGCAACAAAAAAAAATTGTTGACCAAGTTGTTAAGTCATATAAATGACAAATAAAAATATTTTTATAATATTAATTTTAAATGAAAACTTTGTTAAGACTTGAATTGTTGGTTGCTTTGTTGTTAAAATATTTTTATATGGTGACAGAGATAAATAAAGTTTAAAGTAGGTATTAAAAATATAATAACTCGCTGTAAAATCAGGTGCATACAATTTGTATTTATTAGGTTTTCAAGTGTTAAGGATAGGTGTCAAGAGAAAAATGCAATTGTTCTCTAAATTTGTGGCTATATTATTAATTGTTTATTTTGCTTTTTGAATACATTTTAAACAAGTATAACTTAAATGATAAATATATAATATGCTAATTACAATTTACAATAATTATTATTATGTACGATATTCATGTTTTTTTTTAGTTTTTATGAAAAACTGTCCTATACTATATTTGGACCCTAAATTATGTTCTTTTTGTATAATTTCTATAATTAATACGTAGGAAATATTATAAAAATTAATCTAAAATACAAACAATAATAGTATTAGTTATAACTCATACCAAATATTACCATTAAAAGGAGTCAGGAACTTTTTTTTTCTACATTACAAAAAATATATATTTTATACACACATTAATACAATATCGTTTTTTTTTTCATATAATATATTAACTATATTTCGGGAAATATTCTATAGTCGTAAATAGATTTACAACTTAATTTGGGCACAACTTGAAGTAAGCATATATTTTTTTATATTTTATTAGTATTTTATCATGACATATTTTGTCATAAATTATTAACATATACATTATTGTAAACAATAGGTTGAAAATATTATTTTATAAACAATGATTTGGAAATTAAAAACTGTATATATAGTTTCTATATTGTTTTTAGTGAACACATTTCATTGTATTTAAAAACAAAAATTGATTAATGTAAATAATAATAGTTACTCTATTCAGTATAGTATATTTTTATTAAATACCTAACTAGAATAATGTAATATATGAATATTTTTTCTATTCAGTTGTGTTCAAAATTAATAACAACACATTTTTTCTACTCTATTAAAAATTTGAATCTAATGTCTTTCGTTTTGTTAGTAATTGACAATTAATAAAAGGCTCAAAACAAAAATGTATACACGATCAATGATTATAGAATATATATGCATATTATGTATATCATGTAAATAATTGACAACTAGAAGGAAAAATGCACGTCCAAAAGGTCAAATGCATATGTATATATTATAATAGGTTACATATTATGATATAACGTAAGTTCACAACATAACGTAAGGTTGGATGGGTCACTTTATAATATACACAAAGTTTAAAAAAAATAAGGATTTCATTATTGGATAATAGGATACGTTTTATGTACATGTTAAAAAAAAGTTCAGATTTATAATATCGGCAACACCACTGACACAATGGTATTATAAAAACAAAACAACACCGCACTTAATATTATGTACAAGTAGTGATTTAATTCATGTCGTTGTACGATCGTAAATTCGATTCAGGAATTTAATAGTTATCGAACATTAGTTTCAACGTTTTCACTTCGAAGACGCCTACTTAAGAGTTTAAGACCAATGTTAGTCACCCTTTAACATTTCGCCAATGATGTGAATTATAATAAGTTATATTAGTTATAACTTACTGTACATTATTATTTTCAACAAATGTAATTTAAAATAAGTAAAAAAAAAAAAATCTGTGTTATATTAATTGCGTGTTTATGAGTATGACACACAAGCGTAACAGCGGTCGGTTGTTGGTTCGACTGAAAATACAATTTGTTATACAGCAAAACAAAAGTCAAGGTTTTTTTTTTTTTTGCGGATGTCGATAAATCTCCATTAGAAACCGTTACGATCCGATAACACAAATGTCCATATTATTAATTAATTACCCATCATTTCCGACCGATAATCATTATAATTTATATCATTATATTGTTGTTGTCGTTCGGTCTACGATGATTTACGGTTTAATAGTGTCTTCGGTCGACGATTCTACACGACGCTTATTATAGTGTAACGCGAGGTTAAAAATATGTAAATCGAAATGTTTTATCTATTATTAATATTATTATTGTATTATTACTATGCGCCGCCCGGAACGACAGCCGCGGACGAGCTCATATCCATCGGTGCCGGTCGTGCCACGCTATCGTGTAGTGTTGTTCCGGTTCGGGTGACCAACAATTGTCCGACAGCCAGCATCCGACTATGACGGTGGCCATGCCGATCAACAGGGCAAGTATTATGTACAGCTCGGCTTTGCCTGAAACACAATTTTTCGAGTGTCATCATAAAAAATGTAATGACATCGTGACTATCAATTTTTTTAACCGTATTATTTCCTGCAATATCATGTGACCCGTTATAAATCGCTATGTTATAAATCAGATTTCAGTTTTTACAGAAAAATATAGTTTATAAGCATCTTCTCTCCGATTTTTTAAAATATGTACAAATTTGGATTTTTGGAATTTTTAAGTAGGTATACTAGAGTACCCTATTTTGAATTACCTATTTATATTTATTATACCATTTAAGCAGTGCCCAGTGGCGATGCAAACTTCTTTTTTTCAAAAGATAACCAACCTTTTTTGCTGTAAATAATAAATTGTTAGCATATGATAATATTTTCGAAAATTGTGTTCGATGTATTTTAATCGGAATTTGAACGAGTATTTTTTAAATAAACACACTATTAAAGGAAAAATAGGGTTTGACATGCTTGGTAAACCACTCTATATATGTGTGGTAAATATGAATTTGAACACATTTAGTATACTTACTGCGGGGGCGTAAAATACAGTAAATAAACGATAAATAATCGTGATTTGTGATACGTTGTACCTATCATCTATCTTTGTTAAGACTTGATAAAACAAATATCCGGTGACACTGGGCTACAAAAAATAATCTAAATTGATATGTATTGCATGTTCAAAAAAAAAAAAAAAAACCAATACCTATAATACAGAATAATATACTCTAAATTCGGTACTCAATACCAAAAACGATGGAATGTAGTTGTACCGATATTGTATATTATATGTTATCTTGTCCAGGTTGTTTAGATGCTCATCATATTCCTTACTGTAGACTAACACCAACCGATAAAGTGAATACCCGAATCCAAAACCTAACGTGCAATAAATTAATGAAATAATTCGGGCCCCCAACACTGATTATAAATAAACAAAATACATACTATAGTATAATATGTATATTTTTGTCGTTTTACCGCACACAATGTACATTTATAGTTTTTCCGTTTTTCCATTTCCTCTAGCATTTTTGTTTATTTTTTTTTTTTACACAGCTTTTGTAGTAAAACGTTTTCATTGTGGACGACGAAAACACAATGCTCAATTCAATATTTAAAACGCGAGGGTAGAGCGAACGAGTCTTGCATTAGAGACACGAATCTTACGGCTACACACACAACATAAATATATATTCGCAATGGAAAACACAACGTTATTTTCACCACATTCGCGTGCAAAGACTTTTACTACCTTCGCGTGTTCATAATATTATGTATGATGTGGCGTTGCAGAGTATATATCGAGAAACTCGCTCGGAGCATGGTCACCGGGGAATACCAGTGTGGTTCCTCTCTTTTTTTTTTTCTTTATATATTATTATTATACAAACTTAATCTCGAGAGAAATTGACAACGCGCGTTTAAAAATACAGAATCTTTCCGGGGAAAACGTCTATGAGGCCGTAGGGTTTTTATAGGTCCCGTGGTCAGAACTATATATACTAGATAGCATAATATACGAGATATGTGCTATATGCGTGTATACGTGCAGTGTACATTTATGGTGACAAACCTGCGGCGTGTGTATAATATCATAACTAAACGACGAACATACGCATATTGTTGTTGTTGTTGTTATTATTATTATTGTATAAAAATACGAAAGAAACGTTGCATGGGTGGTATAAAAATATACAAAGGAGAAAAAAATCGTCAGACCGTTATTAAAATTCATTGGCTTCGACAATAACAATACGGTTAAAACATTAATTTATTCTTATAACCAGTGAGCAAAATCGGGTAAGGGTCACGAGAGAAAGAGATCTCTTACAATTTTTTTTTTTTTTATTTAGAATATTCCCTCACGTTTATTTTAATTTTTAATATTATATTCATAATATTACATAGGTACCTACTATATTATACACAATAGCCATTAAGTCATCTGTATACAAGAAAATATTCAGTCCCTCGACTAATTTATTCTCAAGTACTGTCTTAAAATATTATCAACGATCTTTAGCAAAAGGCCTTCTTGGACCTGTTTTAATTTTAGTTCTATAAAAACGAGACATGATCTTTTTATGATTATGCTCAACAAAATATAACAATTTATATTATACTGCTGTTATACCTACAGTTGTGAATAATACATTTTTTGAGGATTAGAAATTGAAATATACTATTACGATGCATAATTCATATAATATGTATTTTTAATAAAATATTTATTTTGATAAGCGTTTACGAGTTTACGACGTCGTTCCTATTATTAATGTCCAGCGTATTACAATGATATACATTACGATATCTTTTCAGTTTAGCGATCTAAGCTCACCAATATAAATTATCATAATGATAAATTAATACTATAAATTACTAGTTAGTAGCCAACTCTAATATCAACCGGTTTTAATAGAACGGGTCATCATATAATAATTATTTATAATTGTGATATTACCTACAGCAAAAATGAGCTCGGGGCCTAGTGTGGCGTGGTAGTTGGACGCAGACGCTAATGTGTGCTGTGGTCAAGCATCGTATGGCGTCGTTGGTTCTTAATTTTTTTTAGTGATGAATCCTCACTCCCACATACAAACGTAGTTATTATTATGTTTATTTTATTTAGGTCAAGGCATGTATCTTATTAAAAAAAATATTATATTTAATATAAAATTATGAAATCTAAATTAATGTTGTGGAGGGAAATTCTCGGGAATTTCAATAACCGTAAAAGGTTATAATATTTTTCAGTAATAACTATTTTTTTATTATAAACAGTAAAGTCTTTTGATCTATTTTAATTTTTTTATTAATTAGCATGCGGCAACTTCGGCCATTGGGAGGTTTTTTTTTAACTGTGGGGGAGGGTACTGTAGGTTTTTGTAAACACAGGTGTTTTAGTTTGGCAGAATTTCAAATTGGGCACCCGTAGGTTTCTGCCATACCCGGCCGGGGGCTGGTGGCCTCTCTCTCTCCAGATAGATGTCTGCCCGGAGAGAAGTTCCACCCGTCACCGAGATTCGAACCTGCGACGGTGCGAGTCGTAACCAACGCCTTAGTCCACTCAACCACTCCATCCCCCTATTTTGATCTAAGTATGTTTTAAATAAGGATAACTATATTATTTTATATTTTATAATCATTTTGAAATGCATTATAAGATACCACTATGAAGAGTTTTACATCCGAAGGTACAATTAATATTTTTAGCAGAAAAAAATGTATTTGTTCAAAATAAGTACCTACATGACTATATTATAGCATCCATATATACTGATGAAACCATTTAAAGTAGTTTTTAGATTCTGAGATGAATGAGGAAAATATAAAAAAGAAATGTTAAAAAAACAAACATTAAATGTTTTGTTGATTATTCATTGTCATCGTAATAGTTTTATATACCCATTTATTTTATTTATTCGCTAGTACATACCATGGTTGCCGACATGCAGTAAATAGTAATACATTTTACCCTGAGTTGTCTGTATTTTAGGTGTGGCTATATTTCTATAATATGGACTAGGTTCTAAGGCTGCAGACTCGCCAACTAATTTCAATGGGGGTCTGTTTTGAAACTTACCAAACTTATCGTGGTCTAAAACACTTTTAATGTCTTTTATCACACATTAACAATTAATAACTGCAAATTTTGGTTATGTACATAAATAAAATTCGTTATAATAAATTCGTATTGCAACAATTGATGATTTTATTAAATTTATGAGATATTTTTTTACAATTTTGTCCTACCTATTTATTTAACTGTGAGTATTTAAATAGTTAAAATAGATAAAAAGGCTTTTTTTATTTCATAATTTTTTTTAAATTTAAATTTAATTATTATTAACTGTTATAAAAAAATGTTGGATAAATTGTTGTTTACTTTTTTTCTTGTAATAAAATATCAGAAAATTGAATTGGGACCCATCGGTTCCACTAGTATACCTACCATTTATTCTACACATAATATATGTAAGTATCTCAATTGAAATATTTTAAAATAATTTTAAGAGAGATTTTTTAAATTTTGCAAAAAAAATTAGAATTACCTACACCATTTTTTTTTAGCCTTATGGTGCTTAAACTATAGTTAGTTAACGTTCATATTCACACGTTTCCGGGAATCTCCGACACACTGTGTTCCCGATAATTGACAACTGATTATAATTTGATTGTAGTACGGACTTTTATAAACGATAAATCATAAATATTAGGATAAATAACATAATATATTCTGTTATGATAAAATTTCGAACTATACTTGAATATATTTGTCACTTAAAAGGTTATAATTGGAAATTATAATTATGTTCCACCAATGACAGATCGTTTAATATTTCTCGTTTTTGTTGCAAAAAAATATTGTTTTTTATAATATAATAGATTTATTATGTGAGCAAGTTTATTACGAAATAAAAAAAATTGTTTCATATTAAGTATACATATATAAATATAAATATAATATAATAAGCATCTTTTGAAATAACTGATGTTTTATAAATATTTTCAGGCAAAGTAACTTATTCATGTATATATAATATAAACCCAGCTGCATATTTAAATAGTTTATGAAGAACTTTGTGAAAGAGATTGAATTTTTATTACTATTCTCGTTATTATGCCATAGTTGACAAAATGTATATTTAAGTCCTGGGCCATTTTAATGTATGCCAAAAGCAACGTTTTGACAAATATGTCATCTGCTCCTGAACATGATGGATTAGATAATCGCGTCATTTTAATGATTTTTGATGGATAATTCCGTACATTAATCCTTCGTAAACCATGACCGCAATATTATCACCTCTAATGTTAATCCAACGTATTAAACGTACCTACATCATATTGGCATCAGTATTGTTTTGTATCGATGAAACCAATTATAAAACTTAGTTAACTTTATGAAGCACAAAAATCACATATCGTTAAGAATTTTGTAAGTACTATTATATGTGAATCGTGACTGCTGAATAATAATATTGGAATTAATATAAACATTATAT